CATGCTTCACACATAAGTTCAGAATGCACCCGTACTTTTAAGGTACTAATAGCCTTTCACAAACTTTTGGAGAGGTACTCCTACGTCACGCGTGTTTAATCAACCATGAGGAACGTTGATCTCACACCTGGATTTGGCTATTCTAATCACATTTCACCAACACAACCCGTAACATGCTTCACACATATGCTCAGAATACACCCATACTTTAAGGTGTTACAGCCTTTCACCAACTTTGAAGAGGAACCCCTACGTCCCACGTGTGCAATCAACCATGAGGAGCGTTGATTACACACCTGGACTTTGTTAGTTTAATCACATACACCCAATACTGGGGAGATGAATGTCTCTATGTAAGCACTAGACTCCAGGTCCCAGCGTGTGACCTTTCATTCACTCAGTCTGCACTCAGTTTACTCCCAGTACTTCATGGACAGGAAGAGAGTGACCGTCAGCCCGCCTACTTAGGCCAGTTCAGAGTACAACCAGGTGAACCCTGCCCAGCTGAGGGAGGGGTTCTACTTTCCCGTTAGTAAGATTTTTCACTGAGTGACTGAAGAGATGTGGTGTTGTATGAACCAAGGTTGGGAGATTTGATGAACCACATCGACCACCGATCAAAGTGCGGATGCTGGTCCCACGTAGTTAGTCGTGAGAGACACCTGTTCGCCTCGTGCGTTGCCAGCTATATCTTCCAAACCAACCAACCGCCGGCCAACCGAGTGGGATCTCGTAACCCTGCAAAAGGAGCACTCTGTTAGCTACTGTTAAATTCTTCTCCGCCCTATCTAAACACTGTCTGAGATCGAATAAAAAACTTACTTGCAACACTGATGAAACGTGCGTTGGAAGGGACAAGGCCACGTGGTCGTTTTCCTTGGCAGAACGCGTGGTAGACGTCCGCTTTGGTCAATGACCGGCGCTGACTGGGCTCGGTCAGCGTCTCATCCTTCAGGGTGCTCGCCTGCCCCACCATGACATCTTCTTTTGTGTATTACTAATAATTTCTCAAGGACACACGTAACATATTTAGACTGGGAGACTATCCACAATAACTTTAAAAATTATAGTTGCCCCTTAACTTCATGAATCGTGTCTTCATCAATTCGATAAAGTACATTTAGTTTTGAATAGGCCTAGTTCAAAATGCTCCCACTCCCCGCTCGATGGCGTTGCTTGGAGAGTTTGTTTTAACTTGCCATGAGGCGAAGGTGTTTCAGCCTGGCCTACTTATGCTTTCCTGTTCGGTAGATTGTTTATTTCTGTTCTAACGTTTCTAAATATCACATTGAAATTTCTGAATATTACGCAAATATATATATATATATATATATATATATATATATATATATATATATATATATATATATATATATATATATATATATATATATATATATATATATATTGTTACCACAAGCAGCAATGAGTAGGATGACACACAAACAAACATTATGTTCGGCTGTAAGTCATATCATGTTTGTTGAGTGTGCCTGCCCGTATACAATATATAGAGTATTGACATGGTGGAGATGAGAGGCCCAGAGGAGGTTGAAGTGTGTAAGGGGAGCTTGTCTATGTATAATCATAATCACCTGACTCAGCCCTTGTCGACCAGCCAGGGTGGGCCAGGCGATCGGGCTGGCATTATAGCTACCCATATCTTAGAAGCAACACCTACCCTCGTTTCTCTCTACACTTTCAACACGTAAGTTTAACTAGTACTTATTGTGTACACAGGTAGACTGTGTCCATTGCATCATTATCATTGTGACAATATAGAAATATGGCAAATTAAGTACTCATTGTAAGTGTTAAGATTAGACTAATTACATAGCTATGATTGTTATGTAAATATATATTGGATTAAACATTTATGTAGGAGTGCCTATGTATGATTTATTTGAAATACTAAAATGAATTGTATTCAACAGGTTTGACCGAATTATAATGTTCGAGTTTAACGTGACAAGTCTAATTAATCCTGTAACCGCCCGGATGGCGGTTTCAGTCAAACGTGGATGTCTACCGTGTAGCAAGGTGTTAACTTGAATCAACGTGCAGGCAGCAGAGGAACCAAGGTCAACCCAACTCAACCCACTGAAGGGATGTGCGTGTGCGTGTGTGCGTGCGCGTGTGTTCCCAGTGCCACGGAGTACAGTGCAACACCCGTAGATTTATCGTGGCGATAATATTTGGACCTTTTGTTATTGAAGAAAATAATGTTGTCAGAGTGAGCTCAGCCACTCCCAGTGTAGCTTGGCTCACCAACACGCGTCACTCGAGGGACGAGTGTGTGCGTGTGGGTGTGTATGTGTGTGTATCCAGTGGCGAGAAGTGCGGTGCAGCGTCCGTATACTTCTCGCATCGATAATAGTTAAACCCTGTTAGTCCACAAAATAGTCTTGTTTCAGTGATCTTTATCACTCCTAGTGTAGTGCATATGAGAATGAAAACACATGTCATTTTGTTGTCTGACGTAAGTGCAAAACACAATTAGCAATCATAGTTGACTGAAGTGATATTGCTTTGTAAGTAACCCAAATATCAATGTAAAGTTTGTAATGATATCAGGTGCGAAAGTTAGAGTGGGCTAAGTGAGTGCCAGGACGACTGTAACGAAAGCAATAAGACGAGGCACACAAACGTGCCCTGATAAATGAGTACAAGTCAAGGCACACGAACGTGCCCTCATAATTTTAGTGAGACAAGGCACACAAACATGCCCTGATTTATGAGTGAGACAAGGCACATGAATGTGCCCTGATTTAAGAGTGGTGGAAACGAACGCAATTCAAATTACCTGAATAAGCAAGATGTTGGAGATTGGGTATATTGACGACATGGAAGGAGAGTCGGACCTAGATGGAAGCAAACATTTTGACCTAATGACAATGGATCCGCCCGCGAGGTACAATCAGAGAGTGGTGAAACAGGAAATAAGCTTGCAATACCAGGATCCACGGGAAGGTCACAGTAGGGAATTGGATTATCAACAAGCAGAGGCCAGAGCTGAGGCAGAGTCGGACGAAGTAAACCGAGCCTTGCGAGAGCTTAAGGCAGGGTGGATGAAAACGATGCACACTGGAAGGGTGGCGAGTCAAGAGACATCAGCACTAACACGAAGAAATGACAGCTCACAACCTTCGACAGAGAACTCCAGCAATTATGAGAAGCCAATAGTACGGGATGAAACCCAGCGACAGGCATCGGTCAATGTCGAGAAAATGGAATCATCTCTACCGCCAATGCTTGCAAACAAAGCGCCTCAAATCACAATTATGCATCCACAGAGAGAATCAGGGAAGGATGAAGAAATAAAAGAGTTAGTGGCTACGATGTGCGTGCCGCAAGCCACCCTTCCCAAGTTTAAAGGCCAAGGTCGGGCGGAGTTTTGGACCTTTACGCATGCCTTCCGTCGATACATGACAAATGCGGCCGTGCCAGAGAAGTACAAGTACCAACTGCTCATGGGATGCGACTATCTAGAGCCAGACCGAGCCTACAACAAGGCAATCAAGATCCTGGAGGCAAGGTTTGGAGATAGGTATGCATATGCGGACCAGCTGGTGAAGAGGCTCATAGACGCTCGCTCAGTCGGGGCGTTCGACGATGAAGGGCTGCGAAAACTGGCATCTCAGCTATGGGGTGCAGTAAGCCATCTGGAGAATCTGAACTTGATGTCTGAACTTGAAACAAGGCAGACCTTCAGAACGCTGGTGGTTAAGCTTCCCCCCAAATTGAGAGAACGCTTTGTGGATGATGTACGGAATTATCCGAAGTCGACAGGACACAGAACGGGGCTGGTGAAGTGGTTAGCGCTATATTTGGAGGAGAAAGTGGTGACAATGGATGACATGGCTCTGCTATCAAGCGAGGACAGTCAAGAAGGAAGTAAGAAGAGACCAGAAGGATCATCGTCAAGCAAACGTGCCGTGGGCCTAGTGACTATCAGTGAAGCGAAAGGCAATGGAGGAGAAACAAGCTCTGGAAAAGGCACGTGCCCAGTGTGTTCCAGAGCACATGGATTACCAGGGTGAGACAAATTCCGGAGCATGTCAGTGAGGGAGAGGTTAGAGAGGGTAAAAAGATTACGTTGCTGTTTCTTGTGTCTGAAAGTGGGCCACCTTGTTGCTGAGTGTTGGTCACGCTTCAGGTGTGGCACTGATGGGTGCAAAGAGAAGCATTCTAGACTGTTGCATCAAGAACGAAGGGAGGCACTTACTGCAAGTATGTCAAACACACGCAAGGGTGGCGTAAAGCGAAATTTTCAAGGTCTCGTGAAACAGGAGTCAATGGCAAGCACCTCTGATGCTGGCATGGCCCAGAAAGCCAACGACAGTTCGTACATGGCCGGAAAAATAGGCCATGTCTATGCTACAGGGACAAAGGACGGCCATGAAAACCCATACAGCTGCGAAAGCGACATCTGACTATCGACGAAAAATGCCAAGATTGTACTGCCCATAGTGAGTGTGAAGATTCGGGGAAAGGACTCACACCAACGAAATCACATCAGAACTTTAGCTCTCTTGGACGCAGGCAGCGACAGGTCGTATTGCACCAAAGATCTGGCACAGAAACTAAGGGTGAAAGGGACACCTACCCTGGTAACCATGGGTACACTTGCCCAAGAGATGATACTCGAGTCAGCGGAGGTAGATCTAGAAGTGGTTGGTGCAACCATGAAACGAGGAAGAACCATACTTATGCCGAAAGTACTCATTTTACAAAATTTCCCCACAACGCTGCACAACTCCGTAGTGAACACAAGTGATATCTCAAGGTGAACCCACCTGCGAGGTGTGGGATTACCAGAATTGCAGAGCAACAGAATAGAAATTCTGATAGGACAAGATGTGCCACAGGCCCTGGTGCCCTTGGAGGTCAGAGCAGGAAGGGATGGAATGCCATTCGCCATAAAATCGCGACTGGGTTGGACAGTAAATGGACCGGTGGGGCACCAAGACGCACAAGGAGTTTGCATGTCAGGATGCCTGATGACCGAAACTGTCGTGAGTCCTGAAACCCGTCTGGAAAGACAAGTTAAGCTTTTTTGGGAGCTGGAAAGTGGGGACACAGGAGCCTTGCAGTCAGCAGCTCATTCACTTGAGGACAAAAGAGTGTTATGGTCAGAGACAGGCATCAAAACTAATGGTCATTACCAATTTCCCATACCGTTCCGTAATGAGAACACGGAACTCCCAAACAACAAGGCCGTGGCGGAGCGTCGACTAGATGGGCTTCGAAGGAGATTATCCAAGGACGCACGGCTGCGACAAGGATACGTAGAGGAAATAAATAAACTGCCAGCTGAAGGATATGCTGAATCAGTGCCTAAGTGCCAGTTGGAGTCAGATACTGGACTGGTCTGGTATCTGCCTCATCACCCGGTGTTGAACCCAAATATGCCAAACAAAGTACGCATAGTTTTTGACTGTGCAGCCAAACACAAAAGGACATCGCTGAACAACCAGGTACTACAAGGTCCAGACTTCATCAACAAATTACTTGGAGTCCTGTTTAGATTTCGCCAAGGAACTACAGCCATCATGGCAGATGTGGAGGCTATGTACCATCAAATCCATGTAGCGCCAGAACATCGAGATGCGTTAAGATTCCTCTGGTGGGAGAATGGGGACCTGAGTAGAGAGCCAGTAACTTACAGGATGAAGGTGCACATCTTTGGTGGGGTGTGGAGCCCTTCATGTGCACCTTACGCTCTCCGGCGCACATTTCAAGACCACAGATCCGAGTTTCCCGACAAGGTGGCGGAAGCGGAAGTCAACTTCTGTGTTGACGACCTACTTATGTTGCTGGACTCATCAAATGAAGCATCAATGTTAGCGTGTCAGCTTAGAAGACTGTTGGCGTGTGGAGGATTTCGGTTAACTAAGTGGGCCAGTAATCACAAAGGAGTGTTGGCTACCATCCCACCGGAGGAGAGGCAAAATGCACTGAAGGAAATTGATCTCAGGCAAAACAAATTGCCAATGGAGCGAGCCCTGGGAGGTTAGGTGGCTCCTGGAAGGTGATCAGCTTGCCATCAAGGTGCAACCAAACTCAAGGCCAGCGACCAGGAGAGGAGTACTAAGCCTGGTCAGTTCTATTTATGACCCACTGGGGTTCGTGGCCCCATTCATCATCAGGGCTAATATATTATTTCAGTGTGAATGCAGGCGTCGATTAGGGAAATTAAGGGTACCCAGATGCCTAAAAACAGCATGTGCTAAAGAAATCATCTCAGCACAGTTGCACACATTCTGCGATGCATCGCAGGCTGCTTACGGTGCGGTGACTTATCTGAGATTGGTAGACTCTGGCGGAAGTATCCAGTGCTCTTTCGTGTACGGACGGGCCAAGCTGGCCCCACTCAAGCAACTGACAATACCAAGGCTGGAACTTTGTGCAGCTGTCCTGGCAGTGAACGCTGATCGAACGATTCGCCGAGAAATGACCATGACCATACACGAATCATATTTTTGGAAGGATAGCATGCTAGTCTTGCAGTACATCGCCAATTCGAGCAGACGATTTCAAACGTTTATAGCCAACAGGATAGCAGTCATACAAGAGCTGTCAAGAACTGACCAGTGGAGACATGTCGGCACATCGCTGAATCCAGCGGATGATGCAACTAGGGGATTACCTGTCCTGGACCTAGTTGCAGTATCATGGTGGATACGAGGTCCTGACTTTCTACTCAGTGTTGAAGAACGGTGGCCAAAGGGAAAGGAACTGCCAGCAGTTCTGAATGACTTACTGGAGGTGAAAGGAGAAGTACACCAGAGATCTGTAGTTGCTCTGGCAGTGAGTGAGCAGTCAAAATGGTCCCTCGCCAAACTGTGGCTCAGGTACTCATCATGGTACCGCTTGGTGAAAGGGGTGGCATGGATTAAAGGTTCATTTGGTGGCTCGGATCCAGTACAAGGACCGCAGACCTGCGCCTCAAACTGAAGAGGCTAAGCACTGAGGAACTACAGTCGGCTGAGCAGACAATTATAAGATTGGTGCAGAAAGAGGCTTATGAGAAAGAAATCCAAACTGTCATAAAGGGTGAGCTGCCGAAGGACAATAAGCTATATAAACTGGAACCTTACTAGGACACGCGAACGTTGCTCAGATCAAAGGGAAGAATTAAAGAAACCCTTCTTGGGCGAAGTGGTGAGGAGCCAATCTTGCTGCCTAAAGACCACCACATCACCGAAATCATAGTGCGGGAGATGCACGAAGAGAGAGCCGGACATGCCGGACGAGAACACACGATGGCGTGTGTGAGGCAAAGGTATTGGATTCCCCAGGGCAGACGCTTGCTTGATAGAATCATACGACGCTGTGCAGTGTGCTGACGGAACAACTGGAGAAGTCGGCATCAAAGGCAAGCTGTTTTGGTCCATTCATTATCAAGGTAGGGAGGAAACAGGTTAAGAACTGGGGATGTCTGTTTACATGTCTAACTATTAGGGCTGTTCATCTAGAAGTCTTGGCCTCATTAGACGCAGATGCCTTCCTCAACGCAATAACAAGGTTCTCACGACGCAGAGGTACACCAGAGCGTATTAGATCGGATAATGGGACAAACATGGTACGGGCAGCCAAGGAGCTCAAACTGGCAGTGAAAAGTTGGGAGCAAGATGACAGACTCAGAGGTGCCTTACAGAAAGCAGATATTGACTGGGTCTTCAATCCACCAGCTGCCCCATACATGGGGGGAGTATGGGAAAGGCAGATTCGCACAGTAAAGAAGGTTCTGCAGGCGATTGTGGGCTCACAAGTTTTAGACGATGAACGTCTGCAAACACTGTTCTGTGAAGTGGAAGCCATAGTTAACGAGAGGCCAATCACCCCGGTTCCAAACACTCCAAATGAACCAAAGGCTCTCACTCCTGCTGATCTTTTGCACTTAAGTCAAAAGGGTAATCTTCCCTTAGGTGGAAGGTCAATAGGCGAATCATACCACAGAAGGTGGAAGCATGTCCAGTACCTTGCAGATCAATTTTGGAAGCGCTGGCTGACGGAGTACCTCCCTCAACTCAGAACTCGACAAGTGCATTTCAGACCACGGCTCAACTTTCGCTCTGGTGACCTAATCATTATAGCAGAAGCAAATAGTCCACGCAACAAATGGCACCTTGGTCGAGTGATGGAAGTCAAGGCTGGAGAGGATGGACTTGTCCGACAGGCAGTGGTTAAGACGACGACGTCCAAAAGGCTGCGACCTGTGACAAAATTATGCTTGTTGGAGGGAGCAATGGAAGGGGCTGACGGAGTCGGCCAGGAGAATGAATTGGGTATCCACATAAGAAGACAGTGATGTCCGAACGTCAAAGGACCGAGATGTCCTAAGGAGCTGATAAGTACTGATAGCCTGAGGGCAGCAACAGTCACAAGAAAGTGACAAAGTTAAATACCACCAGCGTGAGGGCAGCATACTCACAAGAACATGACAAAATTAAAGTTAAATACCACCAGCCTTGGGGTAGCATGGTCACAAGAACGTGACAAAGCATTAAGTATCAAAGGCCTGATTTGGTTTTGAGCGTAAACGCTCAACGGAGTGGGTGTTACCGCAAGCAGCAATGAGTAGGATGACACATAAACAAACATGTTTTTCCCCGTCGGGTTTAGATACCTTCACACTGGTTACTCACTCAGGATATTATGGTGTATCACTACGTAGAATTTCACTCCACTTCCAACATTCAATGCGTTGTGTACTTGATAAATGATGATTTAATGAATTCCATTAATTTTCAACTTCCAACTAAGTCATTGATTATTAGAAAGGGATCACAGATACGGGCAGATAATTGCACTTACGTTTATTTTGCACGGTTCCATACACTGACTTATAATTTGCATGGGTAGGTGAGTCATTCACATGGCGCCACAATACTGTAATTTTATAAGGGGGAGTTTGTTAACCTGGAGAATTAACCATTTAGATTTACTAGGCCGGCCTGGATTGCTCTTGTTGGAAACAGGCCATCACCAGTGATCACTTTTCTTTGCGGGATGTATTGACTTAGTCGCTAGACTTAGCAACAATCTTGAGGGTTTGCACACACAGACTCGTTGCACTGACAGTCTCTGGATGGTGTCGTGGTAGTACTGTATGACCCCTGTTCTTAAGTCTACGGAGTAGATGGTCTTTACTAACCCATGGTCTAAGTCCCACTGGGTAAAAAATTTGGTTTTGGGGTATGAGACATAATGAACATTACAACACAAGGTTAGGAAATTAGGTTAGGTTAGGTTCGGTTAGGTTAGGTTAGGTTAGGTTAGGTTCCTGGTTACTGCACATCTTAGAATAAGGTTGTGTAATAAATAAAGGACCTGATAATGATGACACTCTCATGGCTATGTTAATAAAAGACGTTTATTAAGAGCCAGGAGTGTGGAGTCAATATTAACCTGCCTTAATGAGTACCCGGACACACCTCAGGTTGGGATGGTGTATAGAAGAGCAGTTAGCGGTCCCTTAAGCTGGCAGGTGACTGGTTAAGCTGGGAGGTGAGTGGTTGAGCTGAGAGGTTATTCTGAGAGGTGACTTGTTAAGCTGGGAGCTCACCTCTCAGCTTAGCCAGTCACTTCTTTACCTAAATCCTCTTCAGCTCTCAATATAGAGCAGCTTAATCTCGACCCTTATCTTAATTTACAAATACTGATAAGCCACACTGACGGCGCCTCACTGTATTCCTCTACTGTATTGTGTGTATTTTGAGGTTAGTGATACAATGATACAGAGATACAGTTCTGCTCTACCGTATTGCGTGTATTCTGAAGTTAGTGATACAGGGATACAGTTCTGCTCTACTGTATTGTGTGTATTCTGAAGTTAGTGATACAGGGATACAGTTCTGCTCTACCGTATTGCGTGTATTCTGAAGTTAGTGATACAGGGATACAGTTCTGCTCTACTGTATTGTGTGTATTCTGAGGTTAGTGATACGGGGATATAGTTTTCTATTACTACTACAATCTGTGTATTATCGTCTAGTGTGACGTATACCTGCACTGTCTGTGTATGTTTTGGGATTACTGTATACTAGAAGACTATGAATCCCAGTGTATTTCACGTCAGAGATTAACTAACCTAACCTAACCAAAACAAACATTACATAACCTAACCTAACCTATACTATATATACTTGTAGCTGTATTACCGGATACTGTATTTGCCGGACAATTTCAAAAGAAAAAGTCCGTCACGAATAATCAGGTTAAATTGTGTATAGTTTGTGTTGATTTCTGTATTTATGGAGAGAATAATATATCAGTTTAGTGCTTCGGATTCATCGGGGTTCACGAATCTGAGTCTCCTGGTTTAGTGGTTCAGAAGGAGAGGCAATGTGAAGTAAATATGTATGTATGTATGTATGTATTTATGATTTTGTTTGACGATTACACCGAATCTCTTTCTCTCTCTCTCTCCATGTGAAACTGAGAAAAGGGTATTATTTCTTGTTTGCGACATACATAGTTGTGAGTGTGTGTGTGTGTGTCCCACCGTCCCTCATGCACTATCAGTCGTTGCAGTATCTAACAGCTTACCCCCTCTTAATCAGTCTTAACCCATTGCTACGGGGTGAAGACATAATGGGTTGGGGGGGAGGGGGCAGTTTTGGCAGTTTACTGAGGAAATACCTGAAGATGGGGGGGTGAAGGGAAAGGGAAGGGGTAGAAGAGGGAGGGGCGTGAGGAGGAGGTAAGGGAGAGGAGTACGGGAGGTGGAGGTGCAGGGGGTGGGGGGGAGACGTCACAATCAGCCGAGATAAGATTCCACGCTCAGCTACCCCTCAGTCTCTTCGCTCTCTTAGAGTAGTGTGCCTCTAACACATCCCCTACGCCCAAAACCACGTCAGTGTCTCATTTCTTACGCCCAACACCACGCCCGTATCTCAAGTCCTACGCCCATGAAGTGCACCATTAAACTGTAAAAGGTGGAACAGACGCCAGACAGAACCACTCACTTCAGTTCTGTGGTCATCGTCTAAGAACATCACCACACCGCCCAGATTACCACCACCTTCCACGCCCAGAAAGACTGATTCCAGGAATATTTACGTCACTTTGAACGTTGATAGGAAGCGTTCACACACCCAGGGCTTGTACACACACTGCCTCCGTGACCGCTTGCACACCCCCATACACGCAGGAGTCAAGATGACGATGGTGGAGTATGTTGCAAGTCCTCGAGGAATTCTTAAAATATGCCACATGGTAAGTCTTTGTCTCTCTTTCTCTCTCTCCTTTTCTCTCTGATTTACACACGACACTACCAAAACTCTCCCTCTGTTATCTCTCTCTCTCTCTCTCTCTCCCTCTCTCTCTCTCTCTCTCACTCATTAACATACGACGAGTACTGTCCTTTATATTTCACTATATTTTATCTTACCGGAAAGAATACTCCCGTATAGTTCATAACAGTGGGGGATCCAGGAATATCAAAAAGTGGGGCCCAAGAAGTTGTGGTGAGCACTTGTGCACTTGATACCGGGAGATATTCTGAGGTCAATATTAATTACTTTTTACTTTTTTTTTAAAAAAATGCCTGACTACAAAACTGTATTAAATAAAGAGTACAGAAGTTTTTTGGTGAAAAAGGGGGTCCTGATCCCCAGGAACCCCCTGAATCCGCCCCTGGATAGTCGCTTGTATGGTTAGTGTACGGTTGATTGTCGCTTGTATGGTTGGTGTATGGTTGATTGTTGCTTGTAGGGTTAGTGTATGGTTGATTGTTTGTATGGCTGGTGTATGGTTGACAGTCGCTTGTATGGCTGGTATATAGTTAATAGACGCTTGTATGGTTGGTGTATGGTTGACAGTCGCTAGCATGGCCGGTGTATGATTGATAGTCGCTTGTATGGCTGGTGAATGGTTCACAGTCGCTTGTATGGTTAGTGTATGGTGAATAGTCGCTTATGCGAGATAAGGAGAGTTAAGAGGAACAATGAAGTGAAGATAGCAAGGGAGGCAAAGACAAACCCCAAGGGATTCTACCAAATGTATCAAACTAAAACACGAGAAAAGATTGGACCAATACTGTCAGATATCGGCGAGCTAACTGTTAACGACAGAGAAATGAGCACTAATCTGAATAAATATTTTTCAACAGTTTTCACCACCAAAAATTTAAACATGATACCAGGCACCGACTCTATTCAGAGATAGTGAAGAAAACAAATTAAGCGAGATAGTAGTGACTAGTAACGATGTTAGTAAGCACATAGACAAACTAAAGCCTAATAAATCACCTGGTCCCGATGAGATATTTGCCAGAGTATTAAAGGAAGAGCTTAGTATGCCCTTAGCAAAGTTGTTTAACATGTCCTTAAAAACAGGTGTAGTACCAGAATCCTGGAGGATAGCAAATATAATACCAATTTTCAAGAAGGGGGATAGATCACTATCCTCTAACTACCGCCCAATCAGTCTAACATCAATAGTAGGCAAATTACTGGAAGCAATCATTTCAAACTCTATTCGAAATCACCTGGAGAAGCACCAATTGATCAATGATTCCCAGCATGGCTTCACAAGCGGGCGTTCATGTCTAACTAATCTATTAACATTCTTTTCATCAGTTTTCGAATCGGCGGACGAGGGGCGCAATTATGATGTGGTATATCTCGACTTTAGCAAAGCCTTCGACAGAGTCTCCCACGAAAGACTAATTAGAAAGGTAGAAGCACATGGCATCAAAGGTAATATCCTTAAATGGATTAGGGGGTGGTTACAGGACACGAAACAGCAAGTGAGCATTAACGGCACTAAATCCCATTGGAGCAACGTCACTAGCAGAGTTCCTCAAGGCTCAGTACTTGGACCATTATTATAGATATCGGCATACACAGCAACATAAGTAAATTTGCTGATGACACTAAAATAGGACGTGTTATTAAATCTGACGAGGACTCCGCAAAACTACAGGAAGATCTAAACAAATTTTTCGAATGGTCTGATAAATGGCAGATGAAATTCAACGTGGACAAATGTAAAGTACAGTAGGCTCTCGTCAATAACGACTTCCACAATAACGTTTTCGACAATAACGGTAAGTTACAATAGATACCCATTTTTGATAATAACGTCTGGATTCTCTTGAATAACGGAAATTTCGAGGGAAGCGTCAGAGCTCATCAATGATTGCGTTTGTTTGCCACCATGTTGATGACGTAATTGTCCTCTCACGCCTCACTCTCATTCTCACACACTCTCAGTGGAATACTGTACAGCGCTGCGCCCACGTGTGAGATTTTCGCCATTATAACCAGTGGTTGTTAGGGTCAGTGATCAATAATGGCTTCTGCATATTTGCCTGTGGGGGCTAGGGGAGGTGGTGGAGGGAGTGATTTGCCACCTGAATGACTGGGAACTTTTAAAGTGAGGAAATTGAACTGTCCTGAGTCTACCATGCGAAATATTAAGAGGAACCTAGAGGAGACCAAGAAGAGTATTGCTCTAGCTAAAAATATTTCGGTAGTGATGGAAATGCGAGGCGAGCTATGAATGATAAAGGCGATAGAAACAGGTTGTTAGTGATAACAGAGCATTTTCTTGTGAAATGGTTAGCTTGTTGAATGAAAGACAGTGCAAGTCTTAGCGGCCCTCAGATATGGAACAACCATCACACCAAGCACCAAGTGTTAGGAGAGCTTCAAGGGAAAAAATGGGTGAAATTCTTGTGGCGGTGGCACCAAAAAACCCTTTTTACATGTATTTTAATGTCACACAAATAACGTTTTCGCTAATAACGGTGTTTTTCAGGCACCTATTAAATGTTATTGGTGAGAGCCTACTGCACTCAGTTTTGGAGATGTAAACAGGGAAACCAGTTACCAGATTAACAACGATGCCATTGAGAAATCCGACTGCGAGAGAGATTTAGGAGTAATGATAAGTAGGAACCTTAAGCCAAGTAGACAATGTGTATTTGATAGAAACAAGGCTAATAAGTACTTGGGTTCATACAAAGGAGTGTTAGTTACAAGACTAGCGAGGTCATCCTAAAACTATATCTTGCTCTTGTGAGACCTCACTTGGATTACACAGTTCAATTCTGGTCACCGTATTACAGAATGGATATAGAATCCTTAGAAAGAATTCAGAGGAGAATGACAAGGGTAATCCCGGGCATTAGGAACCTAGAGTACAGAGAGAGGTTAAAGCATCTTAATTTGCACTCCCTCGAGAGACCTAAAGTGAGGGGCGATATGATAGAGGTGTATAAATGGAAGTCAGGGCTGAACAAAGGGGACATCACAAAGGTACTCAAACTATCCAACCAGGAGTGAACTCGTAACAATGGTTTTAAAGTAGACAAATTTAGATTTAGGCGCGAAATAGGTAAACACTGGTTTGGTAACAGAGTAGTGGGTGAATGGAACAAGTTACCAAATATCATCAAACATAGGTTGGATGCTTATATGAGCAATAGGGGTTGGGTGTAAATGGGACTGCCCAGTTTCCTCCATTCTTATGTTCTTATGACTGGTGTATGGCTGATAGACGCTTGCATGGTTTATGTATGGTTGACAGTCTCTTGTATGGTTGATGTATGCTTGACAGTTGCTTGTATGGTTGGTGTATGGTTGACAGTCGCTTGTATGGTTGGTGGTTGACAGTCGCTTGTATGGTTGGTGGTTGACAGTCGCTTGTATGGTTGATGTCTGTCAACAGTTGCTTGTATGGTTGGTGTATGGTTGACAGTTGCTTGTATGCCTGGTGTATGGTTGATAGTCGCTTATGTGATTGACAGTCGCTTGTATAGTTGGTTTGATAGTTGCTTGTATGGTTGGTGTATGGTTGACAGTTGCTTGTATGCCTGGTGTATGGTTCACAGTCGCTTGTATGGTTGGTGTATGATTCACAGTCGCTTGTACGGTTGGTGTATGGTTAACAGTCGCTTGTATGGTTAGTGTATGGTGGACAGTCGTTTATATGATTGGTGTATGGTTGATAGACGCTTGTATGGTTTTTGTATGGTTGACAGTCTCTTGTATGGTTGATGTATGCGTGACAGTTGCTTGTATGGTTGGTGTATGGTTGACAGTTGCTTGTATGCCTGGTGTATGGTTGATAGTAGCTTATATGATTGACAGTTGCTTGTATAGTTGGTGGTTGGCAGTCGCTTGTATGGTTAATGTATGGTTGACAGTCGCTTGTATGGTTAATGTATGGTTGATAGTCTCTTGTATGGTTGATATATGCCTGACAGTTGCTTGTATGGTTGGTGTATGCTTGACAGTTGCTTGTATGCCTGGTGTATGGTTAATAGTAGCTTATTTGATTGACAGTCGCTTGTATAGTTGGTGGTTGGCAGTCGCTTGTATGGTTAATGTATGGTTGACAGTCGCTTGTATGGTTGACAGTCGCTTGTATGGTTGACAGTCTCTTGTATGGTTGATATATGCTTGACAGTTGCTTTATGGTTGGTGTATGGTGGACAGTCGTTTATATGATTGGTGTATGGTTGATAGACGCTTGCATGGTTTTTGTATGGTTGACAGTCTCTTGTATGGTTGACAGTCTCTTGTATGGTTGATATATGCTTGACAGTTGCTTGTATGGTTGGTGTATGGTTGACAGTCGCTTCTATAGTTTGTGGTTGACAGTCGCTTGTATGGTTGATGCATGATTGACAGTCATGTGTATGGATAATGTATAGTGGACAGTCGCTTGTATGGTTGGTGTATGGTTCAAAGTCGCTTGAATAGTTAGTGTATGGTGGATAGTCGCCTATATGATTGGTGATAGACGCTTGTATGGTTGATGTGTGGTTGACAGTCACTTGTACTATTGATGTATGATTAACAGTCATGTGTATGGTTAATGTATGGTAGATAGTCGCCTGTATGGTTGGTGTATGAATGATAGTCGCTTGTATGGTTGGCGTATGGTTTACAATCTCCTGTATGGTTGGTGTATGAGTGACAGTCGCTTGTATGGTTAATGTATGGTTGACACTCACTTGAATGATTGATGTATGATTGACAGTCATGTGTATGGTTAATGTATGGTGGATAGTCGAGTGTATGGTCGGTGTATGGCTGACATTCGCGTGTATGGTTGATAGTTGCTTGTATGGCTGGTGTATGGTTGATAGTCACTTGTATTGCTGATGTATAGTTGAGTCACATGTATGGTTGGTGTTTGATTGATAGTCGCTTGTATGGCTGGTGTATGGTTGGGTATGGTTGATAGTTACTTTTATGGTTGGTGTATGGTTGGGTATGGTTGACAGTTACTTGTATGGCTGGTGTACGGTTGATAATCACTTGTACGGTTGATGTATGGTTGATAGTCGATTGTATACTGTATAGTATACACTATCTCCGGACTGTATACTGCAGAAGACCACATACAACGTAACAACATACACAACGTCTGCAAAACACATATTACAGTCTTAACGTGGTGTGTATACGTTTGATTGTCTGTGTATGTATGAAATGATGTAAACCTGGACAGTGTTAGTCTGGTAAACGTTTTATCAGACCAAGAACGTTTGGGCCATAAATGTTTGTTGCAGCCTCTATAACACGTGGCGGAGAGAGAGAGAGAGAGAGAGAGAGAGAGAGAGAGAGAGATTGGAGCATATCTCAAAGTATCTCATGAGGCAGGTGTTCGCCCATACAGGTATTCGTGTTGATCGTGTTGGGGACGTGGTTCGGTTACACCAACACATGGAGAGACTTCGTGACGGGGACCGTCTTTCTCGCCTTCTTCAGTGGTATCATCCTCTTCGCCCAGAATATGTTGCTGGGACCGAGCCGTGTTGCTGTGAGTAATTGTGTCTCAATCTGTTTCATTCTGTCTCATTCTCTCTCTCAACTCTGTCTGTCTCATTCACACTGTCTCATTCTGTTTGCCTCATTCTGTTTCATTCTGTCTGTCTCATTCACTGTCTCTTTCTGTCTCTTACTGTTTCATTCTGTTTCACTCCCTCTGTCTCATTCACTTTCTCTCACTGTCTCATTCACTTTGTCTCATTTTGTGTCTCACTCACTGTCTCATTCTGTCTGTCTCATTGACTGCCTCTTTCTGTCTCTCACTGTTTCATTCTGTCTCACTCCCTCTGTCTCATTCACTTTCTCTCACTGTCTCATTCGCTTTGTCTCATTTTGTGTCTCACTCACTGTCTCATTCTGCCTGCTTCATTAACTCTGTCTCATTCTATCTGTTGCACTCACTGTTTCATCCTGTCTGTCTCATTCGCTCCGTTTCATTCTGTCTAATTCACTATCACTCTTTCATTCTGTCTGACTCATTCACTATCATTCACTCTGCCTTCTTTCATTCACTCATTCATTCTGATTCTCTCACTCACTTACTCATACACACTAATTCGCTCTCAGTCACTCATTGAATCAATTGGAACTTCAATTTTACTGAATAAATATATATCTATCTATCTATCTTTCTATATGTATCTGTCTAAACTACCTAACAGCAAATCTTAACGACTTAACTTATTTAACTACCTAACTACCTAATTTACCTATGTTGTACGGGAGATCTTAACGAGTGAACTATCTACCGACCTAACTACCTTATAGGTGATCTTAATCACCAAACTATCTATCTACCTAACAACCCAACAGGAGTTCTTATAACGGGTGGTTTATCTAACTACCTAACTACCTTATAAGAGTGTAGCAAAATGTGATTCCTTCATATAAGATTTTTGTTTTAATTTGTCTGATGCTATATTGAGTTCACTAAAGGTCATATTAGGAGCCGGATACATAGGAATCAAATCTGAAGTTAGATTTAAATTCGAAGCAAAATGGTGATGGGAAGGCAAGGTTTTCAAGGAATGACAGGTTATTGCGCAGTAGTCCGGACTCATATAATAGCCTTTTACAACTAAATGTTTACCACTATCCTGACACCGTATAATGACACTATTTTCTTTAGGGAAAAACATATATACATATTGCACATTGTGTAGATGTGCATGAAACACAGGTGTCTTCGAAATCGGTGTATAGTTACACTGCTTTAGTGCTGTGCGAACGTGGGTTGGTATGATCGCCAATTCACATATTCCTTCTGCAGCAGGAATAAACGCGAATGCATAGGCTGGACATACGTGTAAGTTTAGTAAACAGTGTGTCATTAGAATACAATGGGAAAGGTTCTAAATGCCATGCATTAAATTTGCGTTGAGCTAACATGGGTATGTGGAAAAGTATAACACTGTGCGTGAGAGTTGACTCTAATAGAGGGTAATAATATTTTACCTCTTGATCTGTGAAAATAGGAGTTAAATGGTAACTCGTCTTAGCTATCTGTACGGCTTCAAGAAGAATTTTCACAGGCACACGCTATGCATCCACACGTCCTAACCCTGCATCCACTACACTTACAATTAGTTTGTTTTTGTTATTAGATAAAGCTTGAGCAGAAATTTCCACTGCATGCAAATACCCAGAAAAAGAAATAAGCCATTCCAGTGCAGGCACTGAATTCATTAAATTATAAGCAATCTTAGATAAATTGTTAGAAAATAGTGTTAACCTTTGATAAAAAAAATGAAACTAACAAAATTAAATAATCCTCGCTTTCGTCGTATTTGAGAAAGCAGCTTCTTAGCAATGGCATCTTGTGATAGAGCGTCCAGCTGCAACGGTATTTTTATGAAGGGTCTTGAGAAGAAGTAACTGAAGATTTATAGTTTGTGTTATCATTGTAGAAATGTTAGAACGTTGACGTATAGATTCGAGGGTGCCCATAGTTGTCTGGAGATGAACATCAATAGACTCCATCTGGCGCGGAATATTTAGTAGACCGAGCAGCTCATACTTTATGGTCACGTCCCAAAACTGCGGCTAAGGCACCTGGTTTCAGGACTTCCGTGGACGCATTCGTTAAAACGGTGGTGCCACAAAGGAGTAGGAGCATTAATACGATGATCCAAGCCATTCTGGAAAAGGTTGATTCATCTTAATATTGTTTTGCAGAACATTGTTTTAAACGATAATCAATAGCGACACTTGGTGTACTTGGTGTGTTTGCGGTTCGAACAAATGTGTCTGGGACACCGTTAACATTCCTGGGGAGTAAATCTGGGTGGGCCCTTTTAAGTCTGTCCGCATGTACTACGGGTGAAGTTTGTGAATTCGGCTTCAAAATTTTTAATTTGTTGCCCGCTTCTTTGGCGATAATGCGGAATGGGCCGTCAAATTTGGGCGAAAGTTTGGATTTCCGTTCAGGTTCTCGCACCTTAACAGCATCGCCTATTTCTAGTATTGTAGGCTTGGCCTGTTTATGTTGCTTATAAGTCATTTCAGCGCGTGGCGCTGCTAAATGTTTCCGTACTTGGCCATGAATATCCGTGAAAATGCTGATTTGCTTGGTAGCGAAATCGTCGACGTTGTAAATTGGGCATGGCTTGCCTGTAAGTACGTTATAGGGAAGACGTTTGGCTATGCCATAAACACTATAATAGGGTGATTTGCTCGTGGAGGTAACCAATCCTCCCATGCATTGTGCATTTGACACACTATTGGACGAAGAATCTCTGGATTTTAAAAATTCACATTTAGAAAGTTTAACTTTGAGTCCTGCCGTAGAAAGTTTTTTGAAAACTTCATGAAGCTTGGCAATATGACTGTCAACATCCTTACTGACTACGATGAGATCATCTAAGTAGGCACATACTGTGGTACCTATCAGACAAGCAATCAAAGTGTTGATCATCCTCTGAAAAGTCAGTGGGGCATTTCGGAGACCGAATGGCATCCGTAAAAATTCAAAATGGCCCAAAGGAGTACAAAAAGCAGTAATCTCTGTTGATTTCTCGTCAAGAGGAATTTGCCAATATCCGCTAAGCAGATCAACGTTGCTAAATGCAGCATTATCCTTGCCTAAAGATTGCAAAATATCACTCAGGACTGGCATTGGATACCTATCCGGGATAGTGCAGTCGTTGACTCGCCTAAAATTAATAACTGGGCACCAAACTCCATCCTTCTTAGGGACTAAAAACAAAGGACTATTGAAAGGAGACTTTGAATGTGTGATAACTTCTTGCTCTAACATAACTTGAACCATGTCCTACACGACAGCGCGCTGGCTATGTGGTAGTCGGTAATCTGGTATGTAAATCGGGTTTGTGTCAGGTTTTAAAGATATGTGATGCAAAGTTAAACTTGTCTGACCTAGCTGTTCCCCCTGGTAAAGCTACAATGTTTCTGTGATCGGCAAGTAACTCTAGGAGCCTAGTCTTTCCTTGAGGGTGATCTACCTTTACATGCGGTGATATTTGATCTATCCTCTCCTGTCTGGTTTGTGTAATTGAATGTGAAACACTACCAATTGGGAATTGCGTAGGCTGTTGAGCAACATCATTATGAAAAACCAGAAAATCACACAAATTATATCCCTCTTTCAATATTCTGAGAGCACCTATTCTGTTGAGAACCAGGACATCTGTTAAACCACCAGGACGAATCGTACTCAATATAGATTCGCTTCATAGGCCTTTAACTCTGCACGTTTCCGTAAGACAGACTACGCCAGTCCCCGTGTAAACGGGAACTCTAGGAGCCTAGTGGCTCTGGTGATTTCCTCATTCTGAAAATGGAGAGTACCTGTTAAAATTGTAGGCACGATCGTCCAACTTTTGCTGCTATAATCACGCTGGGTAAATGAGGCTGTGGGGTCTGGGATTCGCTTTGACTCGGGATCCATCTTCCTCGTAGTAGGAGCGGTGGACAAAACAATCACCCTTGAGGAGAGCCTTGGTACAGACTTGTGCATGGCACTGTAGGAAACACCAGTAACAGTGATAGTATATTTCCTTGGCTGAACATCTATCATGTTATGTTTTAGAGTTGGAAGACCTATTAATCCGTCAACTGGTAAATTAAAGTCTTGGTTTATCTGCAGGAAATGATTTACCCCGTCTAGAAAAACGTAATGGTAATGTTACCATTCCTCCAATGTCCAGCTGGGTACCGGAAACACCTGAGAGATCGGTGTCAGTAGGTCGAATTGGAAATTCTCGGTGAGGGGATCTTCGTTGTAGTTCTTGATAGGATGAGAATGAGATTACATTTTCACACGCACCCGTATCAATGTCTAAAGCAAGCTTATCTTACCCAACCCTCGACGGAACGGATAACACTTTCGCCTTGTTCAGCGCCGCTATTAAAGAGGCTGCCACAAAAGTGCTGTTGTCTGTTGGTAATGGTGTACTCATTCTACGTCTTTCTGCGAAAGACGCTGATCTTCCCCCGACTTCTTGTGAAAACGGGACGTGAAGTCCGCTGTTGTGTTATCTGGGGTAACTCATATCCCATAACCCGACATCTTTGGAGAATCTGATATTGTTTGGAATTATAGGAGGCAGACTGACGATACTTACACCACTTCTCAGCTTTCTGTTCTGTAGCAGACTTGGTCTGAGCAGCTGCTGAATAAGTCTTGGGTGGTACTTGTAGCTGTCGTGGCTTGGTGGAAGGGGTTGTTTGGTTTTGGGGGTGACACCACCTTGCTGGAGATGGTAACAAAAGTCGTTGTTGCATCGGGGCAACAGGTGTTATCGTCCTTGCTAGTTGAGTACGCTGTGTCTTAATTGTGATCTTACCTGTGTAATCAAGAATTAAATCAGTGGGGTTATAATCATTTGTCTTTGCCTGATTATATGCAGGGTCATGGATCGTCAATAGAAAACAAGTAAATTTAATTCATTTTGCAAAAATGTCTGGTGACATTTTGCCATCAGGGTCCACCCAGGGAGAACCACGAAAATTAGCCTTGATGTTTCGACAGAC